ACAAATACAAACACGAGGACAAGCAGTTATCGACTAGTAATACAGTCTCCACAAAATGTTTTTACTATTTTGGACGTTTTATGCCTTTATCTAGAGATAGGACAGTGGACAGAGTCTGGAATCAGGCAGAGAGAGAGAGAGTGGGGAATGACATGGTCAGACTGAAACCTGGTCTTCCATTTGGAGGATTATAGCCTCTGCACATGGGCTGTGTGCATCAACCTCTATGTCGCCAGCACCCACAATTAACTACTTTTTTGGCAATAAAATTAGATTGTGTTGACATTACTTTTTCTAAGCCTGATCTGCTTTCCATTTCTGTAGATCTAATTTTTTTACATTTTTTTTTTGTGTAGACAACATTTTACCACTGTATATGTCTGGGCTGATCCTTTACACGCTTGCAGGGTCACTTTAAATTAAACTGGCAGTTTTTGCTTTTGTAAACTTTAAAAAAAAAAACAAAAAAAAAAAACGACCCCTTTCAGTGTAGTTAAGATGAAGCCAATGCAATTCTTCATGATGATTAGGCAGTATTTCTTAAAACAAACATTTAAAAAAAATCTGCAACCAAAACCTGTTTCTCTACCATTCAAAGTGCAACCTCTGGATGAATGTGTGCTGTACTGCCTTTCACCACTAGAGGGTGCTGTGGGACAGTCACTAGTTTTGACCTTGGTGTCTGAGCTGGGGAGACTGGATTTTTTTCCCCAATCGTTTCCAGTGACGGAGGTTGGGAGAATATTTTCACACCAGTATAAGTGGGGGCTCTAGTTGTGATTTGCATGCTGCACAAATTTGTCGTACTCCTGTCAATACACGAAACAAGTATTTGCATTGTGTTTGCATAATGGAGACAACAACAACACACTCCTTGTTAACATGCTACACAGGCACTGCATTACAGTTACCTCATACTTTTGAGCAGTCTATGAGCCTTTTTTTTATATATATGTAAGCATACAGTGCAACAGTTTATACCTGACCTAAATGCAAGTGTGCTATACTGTCTGTTAGCCTAGCATTAGCTCAACGCTAGGCCTGGCCCACAAAGTTTTACAAGTTTCTATGAATGAAGACAACTTGCTTCTCTGTCTCACACACATGACACAGAGACATGAATAGTAAATGTGTGTGTTACTGTTACCTTAAGTATCACAGTGATTGTCTGCATCAAAGTGCAGCGCAGTAACTGAAGAGTCAAACCTTTACATAACCCACACTCCCATTTCAGTCTCAGAGAGGAAGCCACAGCTAGCTAAACAGAAGTGTCAGGCAATGCTAACAACAGTGACATGTGCTCTGTTTCCTTGTACGACCACAGCGTAGCTATTGTTTTTTTTTTTTTTTTTTTTTAACATTTAAAAAATGAAACATGGACAGATTTCTTAGCAGACGTTGCTTTAAGTAAAATCCCAACGTGAGGTCTATACAAATTACAGACAGACTCTCAGATGAAAGTTGTGTTGTGGTCTCCAGTTAAGCATTACTTTATTTCAATGTCTTTGGCAGGTTAACACAAGGATGTAAAAAGTTGCCCTTTGATGTGTTTGTAGTTGGCATGAACCAATTACTACTTTTATCGACCCAACTTGAACATACAGTGTGCTAGACAAGTATATAAATGTATTCGCCCAACAAGAACACTAGTTTAATATTGACAGTGATCTCAAATTGTAGTTCTTTCAAAACCTTGTCCCACTTTTTTTTATTTCTTTATCCATAATATTCCTATATGATGACACATTGGAATTATTTTTTAGTAGCTGGCTTTGTTATACTGTTTTTCTTTTTGGATGAACTTTTATGTTTAGCTAATCTGGCATAAGGAAATTATATTTTCATCCTCAAGTGTGCATGATTCCTGGCTTTTTATCTTACCCATGAGCACATGAGCAGATGAAGGATTGAAATCAAAAACAAATCTTTAACAGCAGTTCTGAACTATTTAGTCTTTGTGGGCCCCCACTAGAAACATATTTGGTTTCTTCCTGTCCCCTCCCCCTTATAGGCTTATAGATATAAAATGACAATAGATTCACAAAAGCAAAGGTTAAAAGAAAGTCTGAATATGCAACAAGTAATAATATACTGTAATGCTCAATAACATGTAAAATACACATGTTGGAATGTGTCCCTCACTAAAATGTTGTAGGTATAATCAGAAAAAATGAACTCCTCCTCCATGTAACTTATATAATCGTTTATTATAACATGTTGTAAAAGTGGCGTTGGTCTCTTTATCATGGATGACATCAGACTGACATTATACCTTTTCTCCTCATGCTCACTTTGCTGGAAGGTTATACAAGTTTTGATGACATGAGAGGAAAATGTCCTTTTCATTTTTTTATTGTTTTAGCCATTTAACAGATTGCATTTTAAAAAGGCATATGCACTACATTATGTATTTTACTCCAGCTTAATCACCTGCAACATAAAAAATATATTAAGAAACAAAAATAATAATTAAATTAAATAATTTCCATATAATTCAAAGAAAAAGGTCAGAAGGAGGAAGAATACAATTAAACGTGATACTTGTAGTTCATTTAGGTTCCCAAACCTCTGTACTTAACTCAAGAAAAACCAAAGAGTATATGAATTGTGTGATTACCAGGAGGGAAAAATCACTCAATACAATTATGTTTTTAAGCACAATTTTAAGATAATTGTTGAATATATCACTGGAGTATTCCCATACACCACTACATCCTAGAAGTGACATCCTAAAACTAAATATATTCGTCAGCATTGTGTATCATTTCTTTGCATATTAGGGTTGATGTATTCTAGGGCTTCATATTGTTGAATTATAACATCAGGGCTTATAATGCATTGATGTAATGTATCCAATTCTGCACACCGAGTACTTAAAACCAAATATTTAAGTACATTTTAATGAGAACAAGTATTTACATTTATGATTTTAAGTTGATATTGTTACAATACATGTGCTTAATCGTTTGAAGTTTTTCTTGCAACACTTAGTTACACTACTTTTACCTGTGTAACGGTTCTGAATACTTTCTGCATCACATCTTAATAGTTGTTGTAGTATTAGCAGTCCTCATTCGGTTAAGAACTACAATGAGTGCCCCTACCATTTTAAGTATAAAGACATATAGGTTAAGCTAAGTGCACACACACACACACACACACACACACACAAAATGTAAGTGGGTTGCCAGTCAGGGCCACCTTACTGAGTGGAAGCAAACTTCAAGAAGAAGAGACCAAGCTTCTTTCTCTCTGTGTGTGAGTGAAGCACATAGCAATGCCCCTTTAATGTATAATGAGTGTTTTGTCTTTGGTTAATTTAAGTAGCCTATATTTTAATAAGAAGAATACTTATGTACTTTGACTTTGGTAAGTTTTTGAAGACATTATATTTTTTATATATATTTTTATTTTAGCAAGTACTTCTTCAACCACTTGGCATTTACAGCTTTAACTTCACTAAAGGATCTGAGAAACCTACTTCCTGCACCACGTAGTAGGCCTATTCCTCTTTCTCTCAAGGACTACTATAATGGCCCCCAGAGCTGTTATGTATAAACTACAGAGATAGGTAAAGCCCAGTGCACAAACACACACACACACACACACACACACACACACACACACACACACACACACACACACACACACACACACACACACACACACACACACACACACACACACACACACACACACACACACACACACACACAATAAATGGGTTGCCAGTTTGGGTCAGGGCCTCCTCACAGACTGAAAGAGAAGAGACCCAGCCCCTCTCTCTCTCTCTCTCTCTCTCTCTCTCTGTGTAAACCACCACAGAGGCGTCCGAGTTTCCACCCACTTTTTTTTTTTTTTTTTTTCTTCTTCTTCTTACCGATTAGTTTGATAGCAGGATAGCGAAGGACTAAATCGGGGGAATGGCTCCTCTCTCTTTAGCCACACAAGTTATAAAATGCTCTATCTTAGCAGCGGGTTGTTGTTAATGTTACAGTTTAACGCAGGTTTGTTTTCCACCTCTACGGTCCACGGCTACTTCCTGGTGCCACAGAGAGAGGCAGTGCTGAGTTAAAGAGACAGAAATACTGATAGAAATTCAGATAAAAAAAAAAAAAAAAAAACAGAGAGAGAAGAGAGGGGTTGGAGACGCGATAGGAACAGTTGACTGGATTCCCAGAAATTGAAAACCCTCTCTCTCTCTCTCTTCTTATTTATATGTATTTTTGATATTTCCTCGTTTTACCGAGCCGTCATTCTTCGTTGGTTTGTAAACTAACACACGGTTTGGATGACGGTTGGCTGCGGCTAAAGCGGAATTGTAACGGGGAACATTTTCCTCCCCTCCGACGGAGAAGAAGCCTCGCAGAGATTTTTTTTTTCTCCCCCCCTTTTTTTATTTTATTTTTTTACAGCAGACCCATTCCTGTGTTATCCGTGAACCACAATCGGTGTTGTGTATATATATATATAGATTTTTTTTAATATATATAGATTTTTTTTTTGTTTTTTTTTTTAAACGATTCCACAAGGAAGGGTAAGGGCGACGGAAGATGGGTTGTTTGGGCAACAGCAAGACTGAAGATCAACGCATCGACGAAAAGGCACAACGAGAGGCTAATAAAAAGATAGAAAAACAGCTGCAAAAGGAGAGACAAGCGTATAAAGCCACACACAGGCTCTTATTACTCGGTAAGGCTGATTTTACATGTTGATGGCTGCCCTGAAATGTAAGCTAACCCGTAATCCCTTTCGTTTACCGAACACGTAGCCCCATTTGACAGCGCTTGCAATAATATGTCATGGGGGTGGATATTGATGGAAGCGAGGCTCTATATCCTACAATTACCTACAGCTTTATGTCTTAAACATGTATGTCGATGTGTACGCTTGGCCTAGTCGTCCCCATTCGTCTTCATTTTGGGTGATATTTTTTTTTTGTTTCTTGTTTTCTCTCTCTCTCTCTCTCTCTTCTCTCTCTCTCTCTCTCTCTCTCGAAGGTGCGGGAGAGTCCGGAAAAAGCACCATTGTGAAGCAGATGAGGATTCTACACGTCAACGGCTTCAACGCAGAGTGAGTGCTGTTCACGATAATGTTCATAAAATACCCACATTGACGGCTCAAACAAACAAACAAACAAAAAAAATCGCATTAATGCTTATTCGTGTGGCTTCCCCTGCTAATGAGTAACACTGTCGAGGGCCAGAGTATAGCCTGTGTGAATGGATTTTCCCCAGGCACTGCAGCGCCTGTTGGGCCCAGTATCCCATGCAAAGCAGCTAATATCTCTCTCTCTCCCTCCCCTCCACCACCACCACCAGCAGTAGCAGCAACATTACTTCCACCTTACGCTCTTTTTTTTTTTTTTACCTCCTTTTCGTGTTCATGTACGCTTAGCATACATATGAGAGGATCTGAGTGTCAAACAGAAGCCAAATAATTCCCTGTTTCCTGTTTCATGTGAGAGGGTGAAAGGTTGTGATCGACACAGGCCTATTGATGATTTGTTTTGCTGCAAGGCCTTGCATGGCATTGATCTCGCCCAATGGTCTATTTTAAACAAGCATTGGACATGTCAGAGGGCTGCAACTGCATGAAAAAAAAAAAGCCTCTGAATATATTCAAAGTCAAATTAATAATCATGGGAAGGCTGGTTTGACTGAGTGGGAGACTCATTTGATTTTTAAAGTTACAAAATGTGTAAAATTGTGACTACAGCACATCGTTACCCTTTCTTTTGGGGTTTTGCTGAACCCCATTCTGTATGTGACTGTCACTATCACTGATAACCTCTGCACTATATGTATAGCTACATTGAAATACAGTGTAACCTGGCAGTAACCCCCGACCTTACTCATTACTAGCTTGATGATAAATCTTATGTGGTCAGCTGTGGTTGATTTTTTTTTTCACGTCTTACATTTTTTTCTGTGCTCATGCAGAGAAAAGAAACAGAAAATACAAGATATTCGAAAAAACGTGAAGGATGCCATAGTGGTGAGTTCAATCTTCGTGTCCCTGTTGTTAACTGATAAGTATACAGGCTACAATCTTTCCTGTATTCATCATGCTTATTGCTTTGTTTTTGTTCTCCCACTACTTCTGCTTTGTAGACTATAGTGTCTGCGATGAGCACTTTAATACCCCCAGTCCCGCTAGCCAACCCAGAGGACCAATTCAGAATCGAATACATCAAAAGTATAGCACCTCTCTCGGACTTTGACTATTCACAGGTAAGACGTTTCAGTTTTTGTGTATGCAGATGTGAATGTGTGTGAGAGAGATGTGCTGCTGTCATACACGTTTGCCTTATTGGTTTTGTCAATGTGTATTTGTATACATGTTGGTGTTATATTGGGCTGTTTTCATGAGCTCCATGACATAAAATGTAGATATTACTGATATAGCTTAGAGTGTGTCGGATTTTAATGAACTTTAACAAAACTCATTTTACCTTTCATCTCCTATTTTTATTGTTAATCACTTTTTAACAACGCTAAGCTAAGGAAATCGTTCTTCCCTCAAAGTTAGCGATGAAAATATAAACACATTTTTAAAAGATCAACAAGTTAGTTGATCCAAGGGCTTGTTAAAAGTTTGATTTTTCCTTTGGAGCAGATGGTGTATGTGTGTGTGTGTGTGTGTGTGTGTGTGTGTGTGTGTGTGTGTGTGTGTGTGTGTGTGTGTGTGTGTGTGTGTGTGTGTGTGTGTGTGTGTGTGTGTGTGTGTGTGTGTGTGTGTGTGTGTGTGTGTGTGTGTGTGTGTGTGTGTGTGTGTGTGTGTGTGTGTGTGTGTGTGTGTGTGTGTGTGTGTGTGTGTGTGTGTGTGTGTGTGTGTGTGTGTAAGTTGGAGCACATGGGACTCTTTTTTAGTGTGTGATGAGCCACTCGATAGCGGGAGGTCATGTGTTGGAAATGTAGATAATGTTTTACATAATTTTGAAAGCCTTCCTTGTTTTCACAACTGGTTGTGCTGCACCTCACCGCAGGAATGACACATTAATACAGACTATTGAAGCTTATAATATTTATGTTTCACTTCAGCCTGTTATCGAAACCAAATGGAAGCATTAATGAATTACTATAATGCATGGATCAAGCACAGGGTTTAATCTTCAGGTTGTGTACTGATCACAACTTTGGCTCTTGGTTTTGTTTCGCTTTGATCCCCATTATCGTGTTCTAACTTACAAAGGAGTTTTTACATTTATGAACAAAATCTTGTTTTTTTGGGCTGAACAGGTTAGCTGGCCTATATTATAAATTACCTTTTTTTTTTCAAAGCTTTTACCCATAAGTTATAGCTTTGCAGATTTCCCACCTTTGTCTAATTGATAAAATTATAAATTGGATTTGTGGAGTTTTAGACTGTTTGGTCACAACAAGCAAGACATGTAAAGTTGGCTGCATGCACTTAAATACATTGCACTTAATTTTCTTAATCTATAATATACAGTGAAAGTAGTTCTTAGCTGCTGACCTACTTCTTATATCTCTGGTGGTTTTTCTTGGTGGTTATCAACTTTTCTGTTGTTCACTATACAAAAACAGAAAAGGATAATGAATGTGTGTTTTATCTGTTAGCCACAAAAGGGCATATGACTTTTTTCAGCAAAGCTTCAAATCTAGGTACATTCAAGCCCTGTGGACTCTGTGGGTAATCTGCAGAAAAAAAGTTGTATTTATTTTTATCTTTTGCAGTTGCTTTATGTTCTTATCCATAGCATCGCTCTAGACCTTAAAGCAGAATTGGTTTCTGCATGACCACCTTACATCTTTGCCTGATGCTTCCCTCTTTGCAACTTTATTTAATGAAACATCACAAGAATATCCATTAAAAGGCTTTGGGTGTTAATTTCCTGACAGGGCCCCCACAGTGAGAGTGTTAACAGGGCGGCAGCAGCAGCGGTCTGTGATGTTGTGTTGTGTGAGGGGACAGGGCCATAGGGAGAGCCGGCGTTGAGTTCCCAGGCCCGGCCAGGCCAAAGGGAACAACATGGCTCTGTTTGGACTGTCTGTGCTTGTCATCAGTCTCAGGCTTCACTTGTGCCGTCCGTGTCACCACTACATTGTCACTTAGTGCCACCAGGCATGATATCCAATACATCAGCGCAAGGAACACGGCCAATCAGTAACCTGTGGCTTTCACCTGTTGGCGCCGATGTGAAATGTGGAAGTATGTTTTTACCTGGAAACTTCTCGAGGGGTGATGTCATGGTGAAACAAACCCATGAAGGAAAAACCCTCTCTTAATAAACATGATGTTTGACCAATTGTAGTGCTTGTTTTGTGACATGTTATTGCTGTGGATGGGAAGAAGAAGAAGTAGACCGTAATCTCTGACTTCCTACATTTCCCCAAATGAATTGCACTATGTGTATATGTGGTGAGAGTGATGGAAATAGCTTAGATTTTATCCTTATAAATAGATTACAGATTATTTTACTATTGATTTATCTGCTACTTTTTTTCTTTTAATTGCTATAAAGGAAAATTTTGTCTATTTTTAACCTTATCTCTAAGTAAGCAGTTAAAAGAAAACATCTGTTGTTCTTCCCACATTATTTCCATTGTTATTTGACATATTTGGTAGAAGTTTTTCAGGATACTTCAGCTTGAAAATGTAGTCCCTGCCATGGGTAGAGCGGCAAACTTTCTCCAAAACGACACTATAAAGATGGGAAGTGGAATCCAGACATACAGGTTCAGAGGATGTAACAGACTAGGATAGGTGTTTCACAATACTAGAATTTTAAACTTCAATCTAATGCTCGTAAAAATCAAACGATATAAATAACTGTTCTGATACCATGTCAACAAAAATATAGGTGCTTCGCACGTATCGGGTAATGAATTATTTTAAGTGACCAAAAATTTCAAGCAAACTTCTACACACTGTATAAGCAACTATTGGATACCGAAACAATGCCAATGTATTTGGGAAAATTAGACAGTGTAACCTCCTCTGCTCTGTGTATTTGTAAGATACTTCAACATAACTTTCACATCTTTATGAGATGCGAAAAGGACTTGAGAAATGTGATCGTTTGAATATTTGCCTATCTGTGAATTTGAATGGACCACTGCTGCGCTCTCTTTGGCTCATGGCAGCTTTTTGTTAAATAATATGACTGAAGAGCTGTAGTTTTTGTTTTCCAATCCAAGGTTCTTATCATACTATTGAAGACATACATTACAAAAAATGAGCGATTGTATCGTTTTAAAACGTGCGGTATCAAAAAGTTCCCAGCTACCAAAAGGCTCTCTTGATTAGATAGCATGACCCTAAGAAATGTATTGCCCTTTGGTGAAAAACATGCCGTTTACTTAGTTTTGTTTTGTTTATAACAAACATTTGTAAAACCTCCATCACAGAGTTCCATGAACGAAGGTGATATCTTTAGCAATTGGGATGTTTTAGACCAAAAAGTTCAAAAACTAGTAGTTCAAGCCTTTATTTACTTCAACAAATTATATATTTTTCTGTCTCAAAAGCCTGATTAGTTTGTATGCAGTCCATGGCAAAGGACGGGCCCCATCTTTTGTTATGTTTGAAGTTGTTTCTTTTATTGACAATTGATGTTTTGTTTTCTCCTTATAACTTTATTGGGCATTGTAATTTGGACAAGATAGGCTTGTTATCCAGTTTAAAAAAGTGAGCCCCAGAGAGAACAGTGTTGTGCTGTGTCTGGTTAGTCAAATAGGAAGACAGTAAAACAGTGGGTGTTACGAAACAGACGTGGACTTTTGAAGGTGGACAGGGATATTATTATATTATATTATTTGTTGACGAAAAATCATGACTGTCAGTGTTGATGTTTGGGATTAGTTCTATTGTCGAAATAGCATTGAATATCTTTATGTAATGTTACAGGATCTCTCTTAAGCTGGTTATTGTACAGCTAGGATATTAATATGAAATATATATATATGCCCTTAAAACAGCATAGGCTTCAACAGTGTGAGGTACACAAAAGTCGTTTCACGGATTAGACTCTGGGGATTTCTAGCCTTCATAACTGGGAACTATTGTAGGACAACAGTTTCCTCTTGTTGTACATGTAAATCAACAGGCTTAGCTTCAGTGGACTGCACCATTAATCATCAAAGCATCCCCTTTTTTTTGTAGCAGCCTGCGATAACAGTGGACCCATGGAAAAGAAAGCACTGACACAAACAGTCGTCTATGCAAATGGAAACAAATGTCAGTGTGGTAGCTTTGCTAGCCACCCAGCAGTCTATGTTGACTGAATTGGAACAAATTCAGAAGAGCCCTGGCCCCAATTTTATCACTGTGTGGCTAACCATAAACCTGTGCATATCAATAAGTCTGTCACTTTATTTATTGTTATCTAATGTCAGTTCACAAGCTAACCAATAACTATGACCTTCTATTGAATATCCTGACCTGCTTTTTGCCGGTAACACCTTTTATAGCATTCCACCACTTTTAGATTCTTGAAGATTTCCTCGTGATGAACAGCTTCAGTCGTAGAAGTATGTTTTCCCCTCTAATTGATAAACTGAGGATCTGTTATGTCGGACAAAGGGGGGGTACCGAGGGCTGCTGCTACTCTTGATTTTGGGATCATGACATAAAAGATGAAGTGTCTAAAAATGGTTCCCTTTGTTTACTTGTTTATGCTGTATTTTTAAATGTATCTGTTGATCTTGATCAGGTATTTCTGTCATTGGTCACTGTTATCGAAAGCAGATTTTCATTTCAAATCTGAGAGAAGTGGTAATGTCAGTTAGCTAAGGAGCTGGCTGTCCTCTGTATGGCTTTTTATTGAGGGATTCCTTGTTCAGTAAGATATTAAACCAAAAGTCCCTTTAACATTTTTCTAAGAGAGATTCTGTTGCCTCCTTGCAACAAGTGATACAAGCCATTTGCTCCACAACTTAGCTTTGCTAAGTCAGATCCAGGCCATTTTGTTTTCTGTGTCAGCCTGACCTATATGATTCCAAGTGCAATATTACGTCATGCACCAACTTGGTAAACTTTGAAACTTAGGCTGAGGACAGAGAATTGGTCAGCGCAGAATAATCACTAACAGAGAATGAGCATCGTGTTGCTGGTGATGAAGGTGGGGTAAATGATGAAGTGAAGAACGACTGGAAAGAGTTAAAAAAAGAAGAAGCTTGTGTTAAAGCAAATTCCCTCCTGGTGTCTTTGTGTGTTATCAGTTCCTCTGTAGGGCACTGCAGCACACACTGCATTTATTCAGAGGCCCAGTGTCACACGCCTCTGTGGAAAAGAGCCCTGAGGACCACACTGCCCCCCCCCCCCCCCCCTTGCACCCTCTACCCCTCATGCTCCCTCCATCCAGTCCCATCGCTCTTACAAGTTTCTGACTTTGGGTTTCTATAGTCATCTCCATGTCTGTGTGGGTAAAAATGTAGCGAAACCTGCAGAACTAATGGCAGTAAGAATGTAATCAGCACTGTTAAATCTTATTGATATTAGTTGAGGTGGCTGTTAAAGTTTGGCTGTAAGAGAAGTGAAAGCAAATACAGGCAAGAAAGCAAATATGGCCCCATTTCCTTTAAGAGTTTTATGCAGTAAGTGAGAAAGAATATTTCTGTTCCTTGTGTAAGTGTGAGCTGTACCAAAAAAAAAAAGTAAACAAATGCTATTTTTCCCCTTTGTGAGACATGTGTGGACTGGATCGTTGGCTATCCATCAATGATGAACTTAATCACCGGATCTGCTTAGAGGAGATCTCTTGGAGCATGTGATCATTTATCAGGCTGCTTTTCCCTCCTTCCCCTCGCCTCTTTGGTTCAGGGCTGCTTTCACCCTCTCACAGAGAGTTACTGCTAAGTGCAGAAAGTCATGTGGTAGTTCCAAGCTAGAGGAGGAGCCCGTCAGAAAGACATGTGCACATGATATTAGTCCAATTGTCTTTGTTGAAGGCAATCAGAGAGTCCTGGGATGTGTTTGAAAAGTCATTTAATAAGATGGCTTCCTCTCATGGGGCTTACACTGAACCTTGGATGTACAGCCGTGGTGTGTCTATGGCTATACTTTTGCTCTGTAGATGTGTTAAGATTTTGTATTTTTGCTATTCATCCAAACGTACCACATTTGCAGTTTTTGCTTACAGTGTAAAATTAGCTTCTGACCACAAATTCACAAGTTTTGAATTCAGGAACTGTTGGAAGGACCTGCATTAGGGAAGTGATGAAAAAAAGAGGTTTAAAGTAACAATTCTGTGATTACTTTCATTTCTGTTTTGTCATATTTTTTTGCAATGGGGTGCATCCGTTAACTATGCGGAGCTAGTTGTGCCTTCTTTTCCTTGTTTGAGAAGATTGCTTTTAGGAAATAGTAGCAAGCACTTTCAAGAGAATTCACATGTCAGTTTGTATCTGTTTGTCTTTGTAAGTGCCAGTTTATTCTTGAATAGATTTCAGTGCAAGTAATGGAAAAATACTATTCACATGTATTGTAAACTTTGAAAGATCGTAACCACATTCTGAAAACGATGCTGATTTGTTTTCTTTCAAAGAGTTGGATGAGAAGATTGGTATCAATGTCAGTGCATGTCTGTGAATGAAGTTCGATACTATTTGATATCAGATCTCATAAAATGGTACAATCAGTGTTAGTTTGATAAAAATCAAACTAAAAGCTTTGAAAAGTATGGAAGATTTAAAAAAAAAACTTCAGATCTTAAGTCTTATTTTGAACCACAAGCTTTCCACGAGCAAAAGAAGGAGAGCAATGGCTAAATTTCATGAATACCTTGCTAGCGTATCAGACGGTGTGCCGGAGTTTCCCCGCACTTTTTGGTAATATTGGGTGCTTAGGACTTGCATTTCAGTTGCCATGGTATTCAAACAGGTATTGATATTGTTTGATTTTTACTAGAATCATAGAGGTGTTTACTAATCTGGTTATGTGACAGCCAAAGAATTGACATGCTTTATATTCTCATTTAATTTATACATAACAGAGCAGAAAAGCTGGAACTGTTACTTGACTTACAACATAGTATTTAAGATTCAAGTCTTTATTGTCGTTGTGCAAAACAATAAAACAGTGAAGCATCTCCCTGAGCAGTGTAGTGCAAATAGATAAGAATAGTATTTTAATATATAAAATAATAAAACCATACAACTAGATAAAAGGAGTATTTATAGATACATACTGTATTTACAGAGTAAAAAACAATATTTACAGGTTAAATATAGCCAGGATAAAAATGGAAACAGATCCTATAAAATCCAGTGAGTGGCACATAATGTTTACACATAGTGTAAAGTACTGTGGTTGTGATGAATCTGCATCTCAGTGACCACTGTCAGATGTCTGTAGCTCATTGTCTTGTAGTGCAAAGGTAGGCCTCTAATGCAAGCATGGTCATATCAGTTACGTTTTCAGTGGTATGTCTGCGCATTTGGTTTTACATATTGTATAATATAATATGATACTTACTATTGTATATATCTACTAGAACATTTGTGCAGCCTCTCTGTCTGTAGCTCAGGTTGCTAATGGGCTCTGTGAGCAACAGTTTCAGTATAATTTCCTGTACAGGCCAAACCTGACTCTCTTAACCAGGAAGTGCTTACCACAAGTGTCTGCCGTCATTTTCTTTCACCTTAGACAGAGTCGAACTAGCTGTTTTCCCCCTTCTTCCAATTTGAGGGCTCGGCTAGGCTTAACCCATCTCTACTCCAGCTCCATATGTGTTCTACAGACAGGAAAAACCTGTTCACAACGCAAATAAGTTGACTTCCTAAAGTGTTGACCCAGTCCTTTTAAGTTAAATACACTACTTGTTGAGATTACCAGCTACTCTTTTTTTCTACTGCTATTGAACTGTCCTTAAGAGTTGAGCAGATGTGCTTATGTACTATGTATGTTGTATGTAAAAGCAAGAGTAATGTTTGGTTTAAAAAGAGACTACTGAAATGGTCAACAATTTGTCTCTAGATACTTTTATATACTGAATAGGCAATAAAGTATTCCAGTATTAGGGTTACTTGTTTGTACATTTACCTATCTTGTCCATTTTTTCGAAGTACAGGTAATGCATTTTAGGGGGGCACCAATGTGTCAGTCAAGCTAGTAAACCTAAAAGCTCAGAGTACTTGTTTTTTGTTCTATTGGGCACACTGGCATGATGTGCAACAGGTGCCATGTGAACATGTGGGATTCCTTTTTAAGGTAAAACATGAAAGAAATTGTCACTCTGTGTAAGATACTCAGTATTGTCTCTAAGAAAGATCAGGTACATGATGTTTTTCAAGACATGTTCCAGTGACATTCCGGGGGGGGGGGGGGGCAACTAACAACAATTTAAATTCATCCAATCACACAGTGTGTTTGAAAAACAGACAAAAAATACATCAGTATAGGCAATCGGCTGCGTTGTACATCTATGCAGCATCAGCTCTAATCTGCCTTTTTTGAACCGTTACTTTGGAGGACAGGACATAGGATGGAGAAGAAAATTGTGAGGAGAGTGTGGAGAATGATATGTGGGAAAGAGCCCAAAGAGAGTCAGAGTCATTCGGGGGCCGTCCACTACAAGGAGTGCAACCTCTGTACGTGGGGAGCACAACCTATCTACTTGACCAACAGGCACATCATTTTAAAATTATAGTTCTAGTAAAAGGCTGGCACTGCTTACAAAATCTATTCAATTTCCTGTTAGTGATTTATGCTGCTTGTTGCTTTTGGTTAATTATTTGTTTGCCTCGGTCTATAATAAGCACTTTGGTCAGCCTATGTTGTTTTTAAATGTAAAGAAATATATTTACGTTGACTTTGTTGTCACTTACTGAACACATGGACAAGCCACCTGTGCTTACCTTAGTTCTGCTGCATGTTCACTAAAATTCGAATAAGTGGACACGGATGGATGCTTAAGTACAAGGAAGGTAAATGTTTGCACTTGAACATATTGTTTTATATCTTTTCTTTACATATAATTAAGAGCAGGACTAAACTTTAAAGAGTTTACAACTTGGTTTTATGTGTGTTTCCCACATACAGTTTGCTTCCGCTGAATATGTAGCCTTTTTCACATATAGGGCTTTCACCTGGAGTTTCTCCTGCCACACTTCTTGTATGTTTTCTGCAGCAAGTCCAGGTGGGCAGAAGTAAGAACGCAGCAGGATATTATCCAGAGAACTAGCGTTAGTGGGAGGGGGTGGTGAAGTTTATATCCTGTGACTGGTGCACAGTGCACAGACTGTATGCATGCTACAATCAGCGTGCACGTAATTAAATGGCTGCGTAATGTTCTCTGTTCTTAAGTATGTTCTTCTACGCTCTTTTATTCTCTGCGTCATTGTAAATGACGGTCGCCCACAATGATCTCTCCGAGAACTTAAATAAAGGTTGATGATGATGATGATATTGTGATTCAGTTGAACTCCTCGCAGCATTGATGTGAAGGCGAATATTCCCATTATAGTATCATATTGTGGGCCTCTGATGCTTCCTCCATCACTTCCGTGTCCGTTTTTTTGTCATGTCTTACCTGAGGAGACCCTCACACATGCATATGTGAACAGCCAGTCAAGAGAATTTCAGTTTTCCTCTGAAATTGTCTTAGCACAGATGCATCCTGAAAATGTCTAACAGCTATATGCAAAATATCAGGCAGACTGCCCCTGAAATCCTCCTGAGTTGCTTGTTCACATATGCACCTCACAGCAGGAGACTGTCTCTGTCGGACTAGAGGGGGTCTCAGGAGCCAGGACATATTGGGAAAAAAGAGACACAGAAGTAACAGATAAAGCTACAATGCTATACTGACAATGTTAGCTTTATGAATTTATATAATATCAATGCTATTTGTAATTCGACACATTCACAATATCAACAAAAGAGCAGAGAAGAACATACTGTCGCAGAGAACATAGTGGAACATTTGTTCATGTCACACATGAAGCTCCCCCTGAACATTTCAGGAAGTTTTCAGGAATTCTGTGCAAGTATGAAAGGACCTTGTATGAATGAATTCAAGACCCCTGGCCCTCCCATCATGACACTGTGCTCAAAGATTGTTAGATCTATTTTGTTGTTAAATAAATGTTAATGTGTGTTGTACATTTTAAAATATTTTTTTTGTCTTTTCTGTAGGAGTTCTTTGATCATGCAAAGAAGCTGTGGGACGACGAAGGAGTGAAGGCGTGCTTTGAGAGGTCCAATGAGTACCAGCTCATCGACTGTGCACAATAGTGAGTTCAAAAACTTTAAAGACATTTTGTTGGATGAGTTTTAGCCTTGGAACTTTTCAGGTTTAAAAGAAATGTTCACAGCTACATGCATAACATAATCAGTAACTTCTGCAGCTATGATAAAATAAGAAAAAGACAAGTTGGCTCTTTTTTTTTTTTTTTTTTTTTTACAGCCTGTGAACTATTGTCACATTCCCGCTTTGTCTGTTCTCTGCATGTCGTGTTTCAAGGCTGAAAGCTCTGCGGTGTGTGCTGGTGTCATGTCATATATGAATAGGGCTGAGATATGTTTACTCTGGGTGTGGCAAGGCAAGCAGCAGTTGTGTTAGTACTTTGGAAAATTCTACATATATCTCCTCATGACTGCTTGTATGGTGTCGCCATGGCAATATGCAAAGCCTTGTTTGGACTGCGTTAAAATGCCTGATTGTTAAATTCATTGGAATTGTGCTGCTGATGTTATATTAGTTTACAAACAGGTGTAATCATGCTGTAATTTGAGTTTCAATGATGGTAACAACTTACTTGTCCAGTCTATTTTAATGTCTCTAAGGCTGGATAAAAGTTATGTAGGTCATGATTAAATTGTGGCTACAATCTTTATTATACAATTGCACTCCAGATACTGCAGTTAGGTCATACTGATAACTGCATGTGTGGCAAGGAGTAGAAACTGATGCCCCTGATTGTTTGGTGGGCTCCTACAGGTCCTCCGGCCACCTTTGGGTGCTGGTTGTACACAGTGAAGGAGCCCCTCTTTGTCTGTAAAAGGCTGTTTGGATATGCAAATTAACTTACTGATTACAGTGCTCTCCCTCTACTTCCTCTCTCCGACTCACCTCTGGATTCACATGTAAATATGAGGACATGCATGTTTCAAACAGGAGTGTAGCCCACTGGAAGTTGTCCCCTCCCATCCCATCCCAAAGGTTGGCTCCCTTTATCTCTCAGGCCTACGGTCAAAGGCACACTTTATCATTGACTGGGGATACTGTGTTGTTGTTCTCAGTAATCTATGAGCCTGTGCTATGGGTGTAGGGTTAAGATATTTTAAAGATGGTACTACGGCACGTAGAAAAACAGCCTCTTGACTCTTTTCCTGAATATCTTCCGTTCCTTGAACATAAATTTAACTTGGGGTCAGGTCTTTCTCAGTTGCCCTGCCTGAAAGCTGTTTCCATAGAGAGAAGAGAGACAGTCAGGTGATGGTTGGAGAGTCACATGAAGCTGTAAGGTGGAGCTGTTACAGTCCAAGGCCTGTGTTTGTCTTTCATGCTCTGAGTCAGTCTGTGTCTGTTTGCAGTGCGGCTGCACAATATGTAAAAAAGCATCTTGTGTTTATTTCAATAATCCAGTCTCATAATGATACCACATCATAGCCCACAATCGTAAACATTTCAAACTTTTATCCTGGATGTCCTTGTTCTTCTGTTGAAATCAGAAGAATATATTCTGTACTGTAACAACTGGAACCACTGATGCTTGCAACTAGCTGAGGCACTGATAATACAGCTGTCCTGTGACATGAGTAAACATTAACAGAGCAAAATGAAGACCATGAAAAGCATACAGTATTTGATGTGGCTGTGTATTACAACAAGGGCTGTGTATTATAAGAATCTGGTGATGTGTTAAGTACAGGGGCTACACCTGAATATATTCAGATTTATAATGAAATGAAAGCAAAGTGATATAAATCTCTCTTTCATGACGGTTTCATTGGCCTGCGTTCTTTGTGTTTATGCTAGCAGTATGTCCAAACTTCATCCTGTCTTCGTTTATGCTGTTATGGAGTGGAAGAATCGAATAGCTAAAGATTACAACACTTCTATCATGTGGTCAGGGATTTAAACACAAGACAAGGATCACAAAACATAATACAGCCACGAGATTCCCATGTGTATAGATATTTCTTACGCCTCTAGTATATAAATTGAGATTGGAACAAGTAGGATTCGATCTTGGTCAATATACCTTTTATCATCACACTGTCATTTGCCAACACATTTGGCTTTGAAGTTATTTTACATCTGATCTTCGTAGCTGCTTTTTAATCTATTATTTCCTTAATCTTCTGTTTTAATGCTTCTCATCTTCATTATCATGATTCTTATTTTCACTGTTTCTCTGGCTGTTATGTTGCTATTTTTGATTGGTTAAAAGCTTGTTAACTATTGTATGTTTCTCCAGGTTAAAGGTTGAAATTAAATAAGTCACAGCTTCATGTTGTTCACTGTTCAAACAGCCATTTTAATTCTGTTTTTGAAGAAATTTGGCCCTTTCACTTGATGTGTTAAATGGTGGTTCAATTGATTTTGATGCTTATGTCCTATTTCTCGTCAGTAGTAAACTGATTACAGTGTTTCCCCTACCATTATATTAGGGGGGTGGCCTGTTTTTTAAGATTTAAAAATTTTTTAAGATTTTCATTTTGGGCTTTTGGGGCCTTTATTGTAGGGATAGGATAGTGGATAGAGTCGGAAATCAATGAAAGAAGTCATTTAAGGATACCTTTGCGATAGAAAAGGACAGCTGTCATTAAAAGTAACACATGAACACCAAGATTCCTTCAAGTGTTTGTGTCGGCATGTCGGTGTATCCCCCCCCCCCCCCCAAACGCTGTAAACCTAGGGGAAACACTGGATTATGTGATCAGTACTGGTGAAAAGTAACATTAAATGTATATGTTATATGTTCATATAATTAGTTAATCTCACTGTGTAGCTGAAACATCACAATATGCCTGTATTATCATTGTGTTTGGTTGATGTTTGGAATGTGTCAGACTGCGTGGCCTCTCACTTACTTCCTCTCTGTTTTGACCTTTGTATGATCTATGTGGATGGAGGGCATGAATGGTAGATACTCTGTCCTACATGGCAGAAGACCTTTCTGTGTGTAAAGGTGCCAAACACACACATAAATTTACTATACACACACACACACACACACACACACACACACACACACACACACACTATTGTTGGAAAGTTAAATTCAATTACACCATTCTCTTACTTGGAAGTAGCAGTGATAGACGGCTTCAGCAATCAACTGGGTTAAAAGTTAGGGAGCAGGGTTCATAACTTTGGACTGGGCTGTTTTTAAACAAATAATATTGCTGGAGAAAATGTCTGTTTTGATTTTTACCCATTTTTCTAAGTGGAGAAAAGCCGTGTTTGTCTGTTAGCGCGGGCCTTCTTCTCAGTGAAAGCTACTTTTGAATTAGACCAGGAAGTCACACCAGAGGTAGGCTTTCATTTTATCTTTTACATGTTTTCTTACACCTGCTCTCATTCATTATTGTGTAGAAGTTCCACAGACTTGTGTTATTGTTTTAGGCTAATGCCTTGGAATTAAAAAGGGCTTTCACTCACAAAGAGTGAATTAAAGAGGAAGTTGGCCTGCGTGTGGCTGTTTGTGGGAGGAACAGACTGACAGGCACTGACCTTACATGCTAACAGTGAAACATAATAGAAATATTGTCTTAAAATCCACCAAACAAGTTTGCATCTGAAGGGGAATTTGTTCAATATTTAGATTTGGTGAAGGCAGATGTATACATCTGCCTGTTGGTTTGTGGTGTCCTTCACAGACCTTGCTGCTCTGGCAGATATTTTTTCCAGCAGGCCTAACGCCGGACGACCCATCGGACAAAGGCACAGGAAATAAGTATGTGCTGATGGGGAGTGTTTGTTATGCCAAAGAGCATGTCCATATTGATGCTTTTGGAATCCTGTCACCCATTGATCTGCCCTCTGCATTGCACATTTATACGTTTTAAGAGCACAGATATGTGTCTGCCAGTTGATTGATTATGAGCTATTTTCAGCAGCGGCGGGCTGGTTCCATTGCAATGCCTTGGATGTGTCAACGGCAAAATCAAACACTTTCACACGCTAACAAATCCGAACTTCCAGGGCTGCTGCTAGTTCATTTCTTTCCCTATTTTGTTAACGATTTTTACAGTCTCATAGCAAATGTGACACAATTGACATGCTTAGGTTGTACTATAAATGATATATTATGAAAACCGGCCTTAGTGGTTGACTGTTACCCCATGTTAGATGCTGTCTGGACTGCTATGGAGCTCTCCCTGTGTTGGTGAGATATGTTGCAGTGGAGGCAGGCTGTAGCAGTAAGGAAGGGACCAGAGGAGATCAGCATGATATATAACTGTGCGACTTAAAGTTGAGGCTATGAAATAGCTAAGCAATACCCTGAAACTGAATATTTCTATTTCATTTTCATTGTAATCTGAAAATGATGAACCTCAATGCGTATTGTGTGGCCAACTTTTGTCTCCCTTTGATCAGCAATGCTAAAAGGACCACTGCCTGTTTGAGAAATATGTTGCAATGATTTTTTTTTTTTTGCCTAAGCCACGATACATTCTGGATATTGTAGTTTATGAATTTGTTTTTCAGTGTTAAGTGATTAAGACAAGTTTAATCAGCTTCATGTTGCACAGGCTCGCCGTTAAAGGGCAGCGTATTACACTACTAATTGATCAGTTGATCAGTCGCACAATTATTTGTAACAATTTACCTTTACAATCCATTGTTCAATTCACTTTTGAACCAAAAATGCTAAACTTGACCATTTTCCAGTCTTTGTCATATGTGATGGTAAACTGTATATCTTCGGGATTTCAGGAACTAGCTATGTAACGGGCAATAATATACAGTAAAGTTGCTTTTTGCAGCCATACTTGCCTTTCTCATTGTACTTTCTCTTACCTTTTTGTGCACCATTTTTGAAATTCAAAGATCATCCTTTTCAGTTATTTTTCTACACAATCCCATGTGTGGACTTTATGGTAACAACACCAGACAAAACAATAAATACATGCATGAATTCAAAACATACCAGATCATACACTAAAAACCTTAAAAATAAAAAAATCTATTTAAAGACATGTTAGTTAAAATCTATTAGTTTTTATAGGTTGTAGGTTGTATGTCATGTTTGCAAGACGACAACAAAATTCCCATTTGTAT